TGTAGTTAATGCAGTGAATGGTTTGGAGGCCGCTGGCTCTATTTCAGGGTCCGGCCCGGTGGCGGATCTCTTTAAACAAATTCAACAGGCCATCTGGCATAGAAGCCACCCCTTTTATATAACCCATATCCGAGCTCATTCAGGTTTACCAGGGCCATTAGCTCGAGGGAATGCTCTTGCCGATGCCGCCACCAGAACCCAAATCATGATTATGATGGTGTCTCCACCATCCTCAGGGGAGAAAGCCCGCCAGTTTCATTCATAATTTCATGTTTCAGCCCAGACCCTCAGACTCCGATTTGGGATCACTAGAAAGGAAGCGCGCCAGATAGTTCTTGATTGCCCTGCCTGCTGCGAATTTAGACCTGCTTCACATGAGGGGGTCAATCCTAGGGGATTGAGACCCAATCAATTGTGGCAGATGGATGTGACGCACGTCCCATCCTTTGGGAGGAACCAATTTGTTCATGTATCTGTGGACTCCTTTTCTGGTGTGCTCTTTGCATCAGTTCTAACTGGGGAGAAGGCCATCCATGTAATCCAACATTGCTTAGAAGCATGGGCCGCATGGGGTAAACCTGAGTGTATTAAGACTGATAATGGCCCCGCCTATACTTCAGCCAAATTTCGTGATTTTTGCATAAAGATGGGCGTTAAATTAGTGACTGGCATCCCTTATAATCCACAAGGTCAGGGGATAATCGAACGTGCTCATCGCTCTATTAAGGAATTGTTGCAAAAGCAAAAAACCACCTGGGAATCACTTGGCCTCGCCAGTCAGAGCCCTCGGGCCACTCTAGCCCTGGCTCTCTTCACCATCAATTTTTTACAGCTGGATGAGAAAGGCCTCAGTGCTGCAGATCGTCATTCCCTCAAGACGGCGCAAGAGCAATCTTGGGTCAAGTGGAAGGATGTTCTGGAGTCCAAATGGAAGGGCCCAGACCCAGTTATTAGGCAGGCTCGAGGAGCCATTTGTGTGTTTCCACAGGACGCCCCAGTTCCAGTTTGGGTTCCAGCTCGATTGACTCGTTCCTGTCCATCACCGCCTTCTGACGTTTCTGCAACTGCTGGAACGCTTGCACGAGGATCTGACTTGGGGAAGATTCATGCAGACCCGCAATCAGAAACTCCTCCTACAATCCCACAGGACAATGGTGCCCCGCCCAGTGCAAACACGGCTGATGGTGCAACTAATGGTCTGTATGGCGCTTGTGAGGATCGTGATTGCTGAGCCACGATGAGGAGTTTTGAGTGTTCCACGACCCTTACCGGTCGCCCACTCAACCCGAGTGTTTCCTTGATTTTTTCTTCTTTGGATTTGCCTTTTCTCCCTTATGATGATATTAAGGAGAAAGTGAGTAAATTTTTTATTCCCCCTACAGGACACGCTTTGTTTTCAAACGTCTCCTGAGAATTTTAGTGTCAAGGTTTATGTGTTATTCCTTTTCAAAATGTTTCAACGGCTGCTAATCTTTCTTGCCAGCTTTCTTCTTATCTTTTAGGAAATTGGACGAGAGAATTTGATACTTTACAGTCGGAGTTGAGAATTGCCATTGTCCAGATTAATTTTACACGGGTGGATCCTGTTGTTGCTGAAACCCTGGCCACTTGGATTTGGAACATCACTTCCCATATTAAGGAATGGGTGGGAGTGGTTGTGCTGATTCTGCTCTTGTGTGCAGGCTGTGCCTTATGCCTTTTTTGCCTGTGTCGTCTGAGACACCGCGCTCAGCGAGATCGTGTGGCAATACATCAAGCCCTACTAGCCATGCAGTATGGTGACTCTCCCATGGTATGGTTGAGCATGCTTCAACAGGCTTAGTTAAGAGCATGGACATCATGGCTCCTGCACCTCAGGTCATTATGGCATTGCACTGAGTTCGAGCATGATGCATAATGCACCTGACTAGCCCTTGCACCTCGCAGGACTTATCCATTGCACGCGAGAGGGTAGTCAATCTTATAACTAACTTGTCGAGACATTGCTCTTTACAACCACCGCGGTTGTAGCCCATGACGGGTAAGATAGACCCAGACAATTATCGGTCTAAGACAGGGACTACGTCAAGCCACGCAGCCTCCCTATGACGGATCGTGCGCCTTGAGTCTACAACCTAAGACAGGCCCATACCAGCTTATTTTTCTATTGTATAAGAAAGAGGGAGATGTTGCCAGCCATATCTGTATGTACTGGCTACATGCCGTACCCAAAATGGCGCCGGCCAGAGAGGCTAGATCTTGGTGCCTGGTGGAAAGTCACGTAGCTTTCACAGTACTGCGCACGCGCCTAGCGCATGCTCAGTGAGCTGCGGCGCGGCAGGCACGTAAACACTGGGACTGACGAATCCAGTCACCCAGGACCCTGCGTAATCATGACGCCGACCTATCATCGGCGGAGGCGGGGCCAGACAGCACATAAGAGTAGAAGCCTGCCGGGGTTCGGCGCTTCCTTCCTCATGTTAGTGTGCACAATAAATTTTACCGCAGGAGACTTCACACGCGTCTGCGTCTTATTGCTGGACGGTAAGACACGTGGGCGCGACATATCACTCCATAGATACTCAGCTCAACTTAATGAAGAGACATTTCAATGGTATGGTCTAAGTCTTTGAGTCAATAGTGACACAAGGTCCGGTGCCTGAATTAGCTTGATGACCTAGTCCTCTGCTTATTTAGATGTTTAAATTATATTGCTGGAGGGCCTGGTGCGATGGCTCAGTGGCTAAATCCCCTTGTAGCAAGCACCGGGATTCCGTATTGGGTGCTGCTTCGTGTCCCAGCTGCTCTACTTCCTTTCTAGCTCCATGCTTGTGGTGTGGGAAAGCAGTCAAGGACGGTCCAGAGCCTGGGGATCCTGCACCCACGTGGGAGACCTGCAAGAAGCTCCTGGCTTCAGATTGGCTCAGCTCTGGCTGTTATGGCCACTTGGAGAGTGAACTAGTGGATGAAAAATCTCTGTTAATCTTTTAAACAACAGTAACAAAATACATTAAAAAAATATTCATTTAAAATTTTGAATTTTATGATACAATTCTGAAGAGTCTGAGATTCCGCCCCCTTTCTCACTCTTAGACTGATTTTCCCAATGTTAACAACAAAATCTTAAAGGCAAAACAAGAAAATTATATCACTGGAATAGATAAGATCAGGCATTGTGTTAACGGGGAAGGGAGTCTTATGGGCTCAGTTTTTTTTAAAAAAAACTTTTTTTTTTTTAAAGATTTATTTATTTTTATTGGAAAGGCAGATATACAGAGAGGAGGAGAGACAGAGGAAGATCTTCCATCCGATGATTCACTCCCCAAGTGAGCGCAACGGCCAATGCTATGCCGATCCGAAGCCAGGAAACCAGGAACCTCTTCCAGGTCTCCCACCCAGGTGCAGGGTCCCAAGGCTTTGGGCCGTCCTCAACTGCTTTCCCAGGCCATAGGCAGGGAGCTGGATGGGAAGTGGAGCTGCTGGGATTAGAACCGGTGCCCACATGGGATCCTGGCAGGTTCAAGGTGAGGACTTTAGCCTCTAGGACACTGTGCCGGGACCCAGTTTTATTTTTTTATTTAAGATTTATTTATTTGTATTGCAAAGTCAGATATATAGAAGAAGAAGAGACAGAGAGGAAGATCTTCTGTCCGATGATTCATTCCCCAAGCGGCCACAATGGCCGGACCCACGCTGATCCAAAGCCAGGAGCCCAGATCTTTTTCCAGGTCTCCCACATGGGTGCAGGGTCCCAAGGTTTTGGGCCGTCCTGGACTGCTTTCCCAGGCCACAAGCAGGGAGCTGGATGGAAGCAGGACAGTTGGGATTAGAACTGGCGCCCATATGGGATCCTGGTGCTTCCAGGAAGAGGACTTTAGCTGCTAGGCCACTGTGCTGCCCCCTCCCCCCCTTTTTTTGAAGATTTACTTATTTATTGAAAGGCAGCTACCAGTATCCTCAGAACATGCTCTACATCGGGGACCCTGGAATTGGGTAGCTGTCCCCCACTTCTGGGTATGGATGAGGCTAGGCTACTGGGAGCAGCCCTCTTTCCTTCTCTTTCCCCAGATACAGAAAGAAAAAACAAAACAAAACAAAACATTGCAGGCAGTCGTCTCATCCACTTCTCCCTTATTCCTTGACCTACCCTTATCAGTGGTCCACATGGACATGCCTCCTTCTCAATTACATAAACATCAAAAATAGGAAGTTATTATTTAAAAAGACGCCAGGTACAGGGATTTTCCATCTGCTGGTTTACCCCCAAAGAACAGAAGGTTCAGGCTGGAGCTAGAGGTCAGGTGCCTCCTCTGGGCCTCTCATGTGGGTGGCAGGGGCCCAGTTCCAGGGCCACTCTTGGACACCCCGCCTCCCCCAAGCAAAGCTTTAAGCCACAGGATCAGATGAGTTAACCTTTTTCTATACTATTCAATACATGCAGTGGCTGCAGCAGTAAGTGCGTGGAAACCCCACGTGTGCTTGCGGTGTGTAAGCCACACATTCTACCCTCAACTCTTGGCCTCAGGGGCTAAAAAACGTGGGGACGGATCCTGAGGAATCCCTGCTAGGCTGACTCACACCCCAGCTTCTAACTCCTCCTAAGGGGCCTTCCTATCCCTCACACCTGCAGAAAACACACAGGCACTGGAGAGGGCTCTGGCCGGGAAGATTCAAAGATTCCGCCATAGGCTCGTGGCCAGCGGGAAAATCAGAAACCCAACCCTGAACCGACTTGAGCAGGGACCCTTCAATTCGCTCTCGAGGTTACCCGGAGCCAGTCCCTAAACCCACGCCCCTGCGGCCTCCAAGGACTCCCCCGGTCCAGGTGCTGGCCGGCGGGACGCTCTCAAACGGCCTTTGGGGACAAAAGCCAGGTCGAGAAGGAGATGGAGGGGACGGTGCTGGCGAGTCCTCGGGGTGGGGTGGCCAGCGCTGCAGAGGCCGGCGAGAGAGCGCTCCGCGGCCTGGACTAGAGGACCCACCGCGCGCAGGCTCCCCTCCCGCCACCCGCCTTCGGCCAGCTCCGGGCAGTTTCGGCTGTTTCCGCCAGTTCCCGCTCGGGCCCTTCGCTCCCGGCGCGCGCGCTTTCCCCCGTCCCCTCCTCCATCCCCCGCGCCGGCCCGCATCTCCGGGCCCGGTCCGTTCGTCTCCCAGCGTTCCCCGATTCACCCACTCCCCCTTGTCCCTTCTGCCCCTTGGTCCCTTCCGACCTCCGACCACACCCGCAGCCTCGGCGCGTGAGGCGGCGGCCCCCGACACACCGGCCGGCTCCCAGGTGTCCGGCGCGCCGGCCTGCTCCGCGCGCCCGTTGGCGGCGGCCACGGCCTCGAGCACGCGCCCCGTGCGCCGGGTGGCCGCGCGCGCGCACTCGCGCGGGCTCCGGGGCGGGGCGGGCGGCTCGAGCCCCGGTGAGGGAGCCGGTGCGGATCCGCGGGGCGCTCGGGGGGCCCCCCAGCCGCGCCTGCGATTCGCCGCCGCCCGCCGCCCGGCCCGGCCCGGCGGCGACGCGGGGAAGGTGGCGGTGGAGGCGGGGCGCGCCGGGGAGGAGCGCGGCGGCCGCGGCGGAGCGGGCGGCGGAGGCTCGGCTCTCCTCTCCCTCAGACGCGGGAGCGTCCGGGACGCAGAGCCCGGAACTGGGAGGACGCGGCGGCGGCGGGGTCCGGCCGGGCTCTCGGTGAGGCTGCGAGGGGGCGCCGAGTGCAGGGAGGGCAAGGGGGAAGGGACAGTTGTGGGGGGTGGGGTGCGGAGAGGAGAGCGTGGGGAGGTCTCCCGGGGGTCCGTGGGGACGGACGACCTCCCCGGCTCCGAGTTGGGGGCGAGTTTCCAGAAGGATGGGGTCGCGGAACAATGGCGTGAGGGGGACTCTCGTGTGAGGGTGTGCGAGCGGGGTCCTGGGTTTGAAGAAGCGAGGAGCGAGAGCGAAAAGAATGAAAGAATGGATCGTGGGGGGGGGGCGGTGTGAAGTACAATGAACTGGCCGTGCCGTGGGGCCGCGTGTAAGGTCATCTGCGTGGGCGTCCGAGGTCCTTAGGGATGGGGGGACGTTAGTAGGGTTTGAGAACGCAGGACGGAGAAGGGTTTGCGTGGAGGAGGGAGATGGAAAGCAACAGAAGGAGAGCGAGAAAGCAGGGGCGGCTTGCGCTCGGATTAAAGCAGAATCGGGGCGTGCGAGCGAGCGAGCGAGCGCAGAGTTCAGTCCGCTCCCCTGATGGAGCCAGGACGGGCGGATTCTTAGAGAAAGTGCATCTGCCTGCCCTCGGGTTTTTTCCCTCTGCAGAGGAGCACAGGCCAGATTTCTCTCTCTCTCTCTCTTTCTTCTTCTCTCTTTTTTTTTTTTTTTTTTTGTTTTTAGAGTTTAAGAATTTAGCTTACCATTGATGAAGCCTTACCTGTAATATTTATTTCCTCTCTCTTTAGCAGGTTGTTGGACATAGTTTTCCTGGGGTTCCTGAAGTGGGAGAGGACGGGTCACCAAATATGTGTTGCTTTGATTCAGGGGTGTTTGAGGGAGAACCCGAAACTCGTTTCTTTTCGGTTGGACCGGAAGGCGGTGGATAGCCTTGACAAAAATCTGAGTTGTCTGTACTTTGTGAGAATTGCAGGTTGTCCCCGAGAAATGTGCTCGTGCCATCTGCTCCGAGTTTGTTCCTTGAGGCTGGCTTCAAATGACCAGGCTTGTCTTCCCTTGCAGTGTGAGTTAAGGTGATTGGAGAGCGTGGGTGGGAAAGTGTTTGTGGGGTTAGGAGTTTTGCCTTTCTTCAACACTTGGGTGTCCAGGCCAGATTTGGAACGGCACTAAATAGAAAACTGCTGATTTTGAAAATCTAGTTATGTATTCATAAATAGCCCATGTTAAGCTTTTCGTTTGTTAGGCATGGAGTTTCGCTGACTCATCTGAGTTTTCTGGGTACTCATCAGTTTGTGTTTCTCAGCTCAAGCTCAGATGGAAGTGTTAGGTTTTAGTTCAGAAAGGCCCCCAAGTTATTAATCCAACAGTGCAAAACTGAACCAAGCCGGCAGTGAGCGCAGAGTCCTGGTTGGGATCCTGTTGACTTCCTGTGGACTACTCCAGGTGCTAAGTTTGACAAGATCTGGTCACCATGTTCTCTTCTGTCACTTAAGAGATTCAATAATTTAGCAGGTTCACTGAGCTGGTGAATAAAGCTGAATTCAGACCCGGTTCTGTGGAATGTCTTCAGAGCTTTACCGTCGATTGTCTTGTTTCTTCCACCACTGTCTTGGTCGTTAGCAAAGCAGCATGAACTGGTTGATGGTCTGATAGGATATTAGTGATGGACAGGAAGGTTGGGGAGAGTTAGGGGCAGCTTATTGTTCCGTGATTTAACAAAGCTGGGGTCTTGACAGTGGAGCCAGGGGTGTCTTCTTGCTGAGGGTCTGTCCTGGGAGCACATGTAATTTTCAGCGAAAAGCTTTGCATAGGTGGCTCGCCTGCAGAAGTCAGAACTTTCAGTCGTGAAGCCAAAATCAATTCACCCTGGCCAACAATCGAAGACTGCTCAGGGCTCCCTTGCTGCTCCGTTGGTGCTACTGTTACCTTTAAATATGAACAGCTTCTAGAAAGCAGGAGTTGAACAGAACGGAAACAGCTGGGGCTGGAGGGAGGTGCCAGCAGTGATTGCCCAAAAATAACAGCATAGCCCCTGGGGCTGAGGGGCTCATAGATACTGGCGAATGACAAGAGAGGGTGACGTTTTCATTTTTTCTGCATCTACAGGACTCAGCTGGAGGTGCTTTGCGTAGTAAACTGGGTTATCCCTGTTTCTCAGCAGAGGCTTCAGTAATTTGCACGGAGTTGGTTAGTAACGGCCACGATGAAAGTTCAGTTTGTATATACTCTTCAATTGCCGCTTGCAGTTTTCCACTGTAGACCCACCATATTAAAACTGGGAACTGGACGTGGCTCTTTGACATCCACCTTGCTTGTCTAAGTCAAGCTGCCGATTTCAGGTTTGCTGTTTTCACCGGGGACTGGAAGGAAGAGCCTGTGACGTTAGCAGTTCTGTTGCGGCCAACTGATGTTGCATAATGGGTTGAATTGCTGCTTGGGATCCCGGCATCCAGTACTGGGGTGATTGGTGTGTGATTCCTATCCCTGCTATGCTCCTTCTAGTGGAGTTTGTGGCTTTGGCCTGGCCCAGCCCTGGCTACTGGCTTTGGGTGAATGAACCAGTTGGTGGAAGCGCTCTCTGTTACTCTGTCTCTCCTGTTTCTCTGTCTTTCTTTAAAATAAACAAATGTTTTTAAAAATCATATTAGGAGCGAGCGTTGTGGTGTGGTGCATCCAGCCACCGGTGACATCCCGTATAGATACCAGTTTGAGCTAGCTCTTCCAGTTCCCATCCAGCTCCTCCTGCTGTGCCTGGGAAAGCAGTGGAGGATGGCCAAGTGCTTGGACCCTGCGTCTACACGGGAGACCTGGGTGAAGCTCCTGGCCCCTGGCCCTGGCCTGGGCTGGCCCTGGATGTTCCAGGCATTTGGGGAGTGAACCAGCCGATGCAAGATCTGTGTCTCTTCCTCTGCAATTCTAACAAGTACTTTTTTTTTTTTTTATATAAATTTACTTCGATGTAAAAATTTTTAGAAATTCACAGTTTATTTTTATAATATGCATTTTCTTTGTATGGCTTTAAATTTTTTCAGCAAAATTTCGTTTAATTCTGTTTTTCATATCTATATTTAGCAGCAGCATACAAACGGCACATCCCCTTCTGAGCTTTTTGTTTGTTTCTTTTAATTTGTGTGCTAGAGAGAGCAGAGAGAGAGAGAGAGAGAGAGGTCACGTCGGCTCTTTTACCCCCCAGATGTCTTCGTGGATTTGGGAGCTGGTTTCCCACATGTGTGCCAAGGACTCAGTTTCTTACCTGCTACGCCCCAGCTTTACATTAACAGGAAGCCAGAAATTTTAGTGGACCTGGGATCTGAACCCAGGCATTTCATTGTGGTATATAGGTGTCGCAGTTGAGCGGGGGACCTTAACTCCGACCAGACTCTGACCTCTAGTCTGAGATCTTGGTGTTAAAGGTAAGGCATTTGCTTCAGACCAGAGATGGTGTGCCCAAGAAACTGTTGAACTTATCTGGACAATAAGATGCTGGACTCTATGCAAAGTATATGCTTGCAATGAAAGAATGAGGATTGGATTTGAACTGTTATACTGCAACTAGGTAGAGAAATCCACCATGGGGGGAGGGTATTGGGAGGGGTTGGGGGAATGCCAGAGCCTATGAAACTGTTATAAAATCAAATGTAATTTAAAAAATAAAAAGGTAAGGCATTTGGGCCTGGCACAGTGGCTTAGTGGTTAAAGTCCTCGTCTTGAATATGTCAGGATTTCATATGGGCACCGGTTCTAATCCCGGCAGCTCCACTTCCCATCCAGCTCCCTGCCTGTGGCCTGGGAAAGCAGTTGAGGACGGCCCAAAGCCTTGGGACCCTGCGCCCATGTGGGAGACTTGGAGGAAGAGACTCCTGGCTCCTGGCTTTGGATTGGCTCAGCTCCAACCGTTGCGGTCACTTGGGGAGTGAGTCATCAGACAGAAGATCTTCCTCTCTCTATCTCTCCTCCTCTCTGTATATCTTGACTTTCCAATAAAAATAAATAAATCTCTGAGAAAAAAGGTAAGTTATTTAAACTTGATGATGACAGCGAAGTGTGAGTGTTCCAAGCTCTATGTTTATTTATTTTTTAAAATTATTTTTATTTTGTCAGAGAGAAGGAGATCTTCTGTTTATTGGTTCATCACACACATACTGGCAACGTTCAGGGCTGGGTGAGGTGGAATTGAGTGTGGATCTTTTTTTTTTTTTTAAAGATTTATTTATTTTTATTGCAAAGTCAGATATACAGAGAGGAGGAGAGAGAGAGAGGAAGATCTTCCGTCCGATGATTCACTCCCTAAGTGACCGCAACACCGGCATGGCGCCAGTCTGAAGCCAGGAGCCAGGAACCTCCTCTGGGTCTCCCATGTAGGTGCAGGGTCCCAAGACTTTGGGCCGTCCTCAACTGCTTTCCCAGGCCATAGGCAGGGAGCTGGGTGGGAAGTGGAGCTGCTGGGATTAGAACCGGCGCCCACATGGGATCTTGGCGCATTCAAGGGGAGCACTTTAGCTGCTAGGCCACTTTGCTGGGCCGAGTGTGGAATTTAACTTGGCTCTCCCATGTGGGTGACGGCAACCCAGGTGCTCGAGCTGTTACTTGCTGCATGCAGTGGTGCATAGAGCTAGAATTGGGAGCAGAGCCAAAACTCAACCCAGGCATCCGAAAAAGGATATGGACATCCTGAGGAGTGCCTTACTGCTGTGCCAACTCCCTAGCCCTTCTCCTCACACTTTTAAAGATTTATTTGTTTTTATTCAAAGGGCAAATTTAGGACCTGGCACAGTAGCCTAGTGGCTAAAGTCCTCACTTTGCATGCATTAGTATCCTATACTGGCGCCGGTTCTAATCCCGGCAGCCCCACTTCCCATCCAGCTCCCTGCTTATGGCCTGGGAAAGCAGTTGAGGGCGGCCCAAAGCCTTGGGACCCTGTGCTTGTGTGGGAGACCCAGAAGAGGCTCCTGGCTCTTGGCTGCTTTCTTCAGATCAGCTTAGCTCTGGCCATTGTAGTCACTTGGGGAGTGAATGGGTGGTAGAAGATCTTCCTCTCTGTGTGTCCTTCTATCTAAATCTGACTTTGCAATAAAAATAAATAAAGCTTAAAAAAAGGGGGCAGATTTATAGAAAGAAGGAGTGGAAGAAGGAGAGAGAGACAGAGACATATCTTTCATCTGCTGGTTCACTTTCAAATGGCTGCACCGGCAGAGCTGGGCTGGGCCGAGCTGGGCTGGGCTGAGCTGGGCTGGGCTGGGCTGAGCTAAGCTGAGCCGAGCTGAGCAGAGTCGAGCTGGATTGAGCTGGGTTGAGCTGGGCTGAGCTGGGCTGGGCTGGGCTGGGCTGCACTG